GTATATATAATAGAATTTTTCTTTTTTTTTTTTTATGTTAGTAAGGGTATGAGTGTCATTTTTGGGTGCGGTAAAATGAAAATGAGTGCGGTAATTAGTATTTCAGTTTTATTATTCGCACTTGGAAAAGTCTAACAATATGTATCTCATATGTTGCTTTCCCTCCCCGTCATCATATAATTAATCTTACATTAAATAACCTCTGTTTTATTTATTTTTATCTCATTGGAAATTTTGCCTTTTCTTGCATGAAAATTTTTAAAATATGTGGACCAAAGTTTCCCAGTCATCCTCAAGCTTACAATTTGAGACTACCAGATTTTATGTGGACCTGAAAAAGAAAAATAGAAAATATCATGGCAAAGTGACTTAAAACAAGCCCTCAATAGTTCTTTGTTCTCAAGTGGATATCCAGTCCAAAAAATGCACTTTACCAATACATTATTGACTATTGTTATTAATTCTTATTATAAAGTTCAAATGGCAGCTCTCACTCTTTATAAGAAGAATGTTGAACATGCTGATATAAAATTTGTGTTCCTCACAGTCACAGTTAATTAAAAATTTAGACTACATTCCCTAACACTCCACTGTAACTATTTAGAAAACAAACAAAAAGTAAAAACTATTATAGATTTCACTTCATCTAGAGCAAGTTTTTGGACTAAGCTATATAAATAACAGTTTAGGCCTAAGTCCTAACACTTTGAAACCTTGTGCTTTAGCCTTTATACTTTCGGTACTGTAGTGCCCTTTTAGATTTTCATTACCATGCGTATATTGGTTATCTACACATGACTCAACTAAACCAGGAATAGGATTACTAGTGGGGACAATAACGAGAAAGGTAAAATGTTGTCCTGCCCAAAATTTTGTTAATTCCCATATAAAGATACGGTACTTTTGTAATTTCCCTAAAGCATTCCAGATATAGGAGTTTGGTGAGCAAGGTCTAAAACTTTTTTGCCACTAGCATGCTTTTGCAATATATTATTTATTTTATTGAATTTAATATAGCTCTAGTTAGGTCAGGAGTGGCCAATTGGCCCAACCCGGCGGATCATGGATTTACAAACTCTTGGTGTTAGAGCAGGTTTGGGTACAAATATTTTTGGTTTTGTAAGATTTTTTTGTTTGGTTTGATTAATTTTAAAAAAGGTGGCATAGTTAATTGTTAGTGGGTATATTAAAATAATATTTATATTAAAATAATTAAAATTTATTTGATGTAAAAATAGGAGAGAGATGATTTGAAGTGATAGTTAAAATAATGTGAGTTGATAAATAGTGAATTAAGGTTGATGTGTTGTGTATAAATGATTGATTGATAATTATTAATTATATTGATAATATTGATGATAGTGGAGTTGAATTAAAGTTGAGTTAAAAAAAATAATTGAGTTAAAATGTTAGATTTTTTTTTTTGAATTTTCTTGTATATAAACATACCTTAAAGCGGTTTTGGTTGAGAACTGTTCAACTTGTTGATTTGGGTTTGATCCAAAATCGTCTTAGAATTTTAAATTTTAAATTTCAAAAACTGTCATTGAAATGAGGTGAAAAAAAAAAATAGGTGACATAATGCTGGGTCAATGGGTTTGGGCTGATGGTCAATGGGCCAAAACTGTTGGGTTGGCCACTAACCACATCTACTTTGAGTTGGTTTCCATTCGAGCCAAATTCGAAATTGGGTTCCGTGGCCCATTAATGACAGAAGAAGGTTTTCAAAAGGTACTTGTACCTAGGGCTTTAAATGAGTCCAGTCAAGCGGAGCTCGAGTCCTTAACAAGTTAGAAAGAGCTCGATATTGACTCGTTTATCAAAATTAACGAGCTAAGTTCGAGTTTTAACGAACTGAACTATAGAAAATTATATAAGAATTATCTTTTCGAGCCTTAACGAGTCGATCCAAATCTGACTCATTAACGACACGAGCTTTAAGCGAGCTCGAGACCATCTCGTTTATCAAACAAGCCAAGCGAACTCGAATCTTAATGAGTCGAGCTGATCTCACAAGTGGATACCAAACTGTAACACCCCGAAAATCAGAGTAAAATTTTTCTTTTTATTTTCGAAAACGCTTACTTATTTTTCAAAAACACTTTTAACTTACTCGCGGAATGCTACCTTACTTACTTACTTACTTTTTAAAAAACGATTTTCCTTATAACTGGCTTAACTTAAGCAACTTGGCCTAAGGTGCTCACTTAGAGCACCCACAATATGCTCACTTAAGCAACTTGGCATATGTGCCAAATAAATAGACTTAAGTCTATAAAGATATGGACAAACTCAAGCTAAAAAGTCCAAAATTTTTCCAATGCAAAAAAGAAAGTACTAGGTCTAGAATACTTAACAAACAATAAAAATATAATAATATTAAATGATTGCTATTGTAAGGTTCACACTTGAGTCCAAAATAGACCCAAGAGTGGACTTGTTCTCTTTTTTTTATTGTCACATAAGCTATACTAGGTCCACTTTTAATTGCATTGTCAAACACTTTTTTATAACTAGATATATTTTCTACATGGCTTGTGATTTTTTTTAAAGAGACCCAAAGCATTGTGGGTGCTCTTGGGACTTAGGGGTACACTCGGGACCCAACTAGTACT